GGGGAGGGAGGGACTTTCACAGATAAAACATTTATGATTATAGCAATTCTAGATGACCGAAAATGGCACTTTCAGACTTACAATTTGAATGTACGTATGAATGTGTGTGTTTGTATGTTTTTTTTCCTCCAGTTTTAAAATAATAATAATCTGAAACATTTACGGGACTCAAGCTGACCACCCCTACCCTTGAATCTGGTACGGACACATTTCCATCACACATTGTTGAGTTTCACTGACACAAATATCGCTTTACAATGCTTCCTATGCTGTTGTTTAATAAATGAATATTCTACGTACTGTTTTTGATAGCTCACTTCCACTCTCCATGATTCTTAAACAAAGTGGAATAATTTCGGTTGTAAGTAGAAATGTTATCACTTCCTGTTCATCAGTCTGAAATAAAAACAAAGAAATCAAAGAAAAAAAATCAATATAATCAATACCAATATCCTTTTTGTGATTCATTTTTAGCCAATCACTTTGAATGATTCCTTGTGAAGTTTGTGTTGGACAATTGAGAATAAAACATATCCTGACTTTAATGCTCAGCTAAGAGGCACTCGGACTTACCTTTACCAATGCTCCTATGACCCCTAAGCTTGTCAAACGAAGGTATTCAAAAGGTCTTGTTTTGCTAACCGTGTGTAAAAATGGATAGAGAAATAATGGAATATGAGCTGAAAGAAAAGGGGAAAAAATAAAATAACCATTCCCTCAAGTATGTACACTTTATAAATATGTAAAAGTTTCAGTTTTATTTACTTGACTTTAACACTTTTTGAAAAAGATCTTTTATTACATGTTTATAGGCAGTAAAGAATATGAAAATAATATGCAGTGCTTAAAAACATAGCAAATGCATGCATTTATGAAACTCCATATATTACCTTGTAAAAATGCTGACCTTGTCTCAGGATGGGATGCAACACATTGCAACAGAGCTAAAGCATTACAAACTCTGTTGGATTGGTGAGCCTAGGTTTGTACAAAGTAAAGAATATTAAGAAAACTATCAAGTATACATCTTGTAAAACAAATTGACAGATATTCATTGTCTCTGAATACCTCAATGCTATGATTAACACCACAATCAATCAATCAATCGATCAACACACCACAAACTTATAATTATAATAACCATCACCTACCATTATTAACATCATCATCTCCACCACTATAATCAATCATCATCAAAATTTACCATTATTATCATCACCATAATATCATACCATTATCACCTACCAACACCATTGTAAGCCCTGCCCACACTCTCAAATTTTATTTGACAAAACCATGTGACATTCCTAAATATGGTCATGATGACATCACATCATGACCATATATAGGCACACCATGACTATATATGGACATACAATAGTTTATTGTCAAAGAAAATTTGATAGTGTAAACAAATCTTTATATTATGGTATACTTACTGACTAATAATAGCAAAGAACTTAAATAGCAGAAGAATGAGCTGTTCCGCGTATTTGCATGAAAATCTATGGAACATCCGCCCTCCTGCGGACGCAGCAAAATTTGAACATTTTACTAAGTGGAGAAACTACAGGAAACAAACGAACCAGAGCGGCGCCTTCATTATTACTATATAGCGCCACCGCGTGGATGCAGTAAAATTTTTCTCCGTGTACCTACAATGCATTTTGACCGGATGTTCCACTATTTTGGGAAGCTGCTCTATCTTCTGCTATTTATTATCTTTGCTAATAGGCACTGATCTAAAGGTTCAATTGTGTCTGCTATTGTTGTTTTGTTATGTACACCATTCACTTTATCTTCACCAAATAGCACAGGGTATTTGACACATTGGAGAAGGAATACAGAGAACATTATCAGTTTTACTTTATCATTATCATCACACTATCATAACCATTACTATTATTATCACCAATATATACCATCATCAACACAATGATCTCTACCTACCATTTTTCTCAATACCAACCACCATCACGCACATCTCATTTTTACTTACTGTTAAGCTTGGAGGATTTATGAATGGATAAATATTGACAATTTCCTGCAATAGAGCTGCAACTGTTCCAAATGAGTGCCACAACATAGGAGCTAAATCAGGAACAACTTCACGCTTTTTACTGCAAAAAAAAAAAAAAGAATTAATCAACAAAATAATATTTTCACAGAGTCAATAAAATCTAACATTAGTTATAAACTATTTTGAAATCTAATTTATGTACAATTATAGGGCTCACTTTCTTGAAACACATGTTAGGTGAAACCTAATATTAATATTATCTACACTTCATTATTTATTTAGTGAATTATATTATATTTGAAAGATCCTGAAAGGGGAAGGCAGGGAAATCATTTACGAAAATGGTTCTGCAAGACACATCTAGGTGGAGAAGAATATTAAATATTATTGTCAAATAAGGAAATAAGAGTGTGTGTGGTAAAAAAATCATAGAGTGCCCTTAAGCTCTGACAAGATTATCAAATTTTATTTGAAAAAAACGTGTGACATGCCTAAACATGGTCATGATGACATCACAGCATGACCATATATAGGCACATCATGACTATATATGGGCATACAGCATTTTTTTGTCTAGAAAATTTTACAATCTGGACAGCTCAAGATCCTATTGTTTATGTGATGATGCGATGTAATGTTTGTGGCACCTAGAAACTTTGTTATTAAGACTACAGAGAAATAAAGTAAATAGCAGTCCAAGTCCCCCCCCCCCCCAAATACAAAATTGTGCCAATTTTATGGGGTGGGCTTATACCTGGGGAATCCCATTTTTAATCAAAAGGCAATTACAGTATGCCTCATTCATAGTCAATAATTCATGTTTTTTCTGAGAATATTTGTAATCACACAGAAAGACTGGTACATCAAACTTGGCATAAAGTACTGTAGGGGGTGGACTTACACCCGAGGTAGGATTATAGCATGAGGAACTACAGGTATTGTAAATATTGCTGTTCCCTCAACCAAAATGGTACCCACCTTAATTCTAGTAGTGCATTTTCTCTTGTATCAGGGCTCGTTAGTTCCACTATCCATT